AATTGAAGAAGTAGAACCAAGAAATAAAAAATAATTGAATAATAATAACTGAAGAAGAAAAATAATTGGTAAAGAAGAAAGAAAATTTAAAAAAGAATAACTATAATAAAGAAAAAATGCATGAAAAATAATTGCAGGAGAAGAAAGAATAATTCAAGCATAATAATTAAAAAAAAAATAACTAATCAAGAACAAGTAAATAAAAATAAATAATTGAAGAAAAATTTAATTAAAGAAAAATAACTAAAGAAGAATAAATAAATTATAAAAAGAATTAATTTAAAGAAGAATATCTAATAAAGAAGAAGAATTAAAGAAATAATTAAAGAATAATTAAAGAATAATTAAAAAGAAGAAAAAACAAAAAGTCAAGAATAATAATTGAAAAGGAATAACTAAAGAAAAGAAAATAATTGAAGAATACTAATTCAAGAAGAAAAAGTAATTTAAGAAGAAATGCTGAGAAAGAAAACATAATTGGATAAGAATAATTAAAGAAGAAGAAATAATAATTGACAAAGAATAATTGAAAAAATACTAAAAGAAGAATAATTACTCAATACTCAAGAAGAATAATTGAAGATGAATAAATAATGAAGAAAGACTATTTTAAAGAAAAATAACTAACGAACAAAAATAATTTAAAAAAATTAAAGAAGAAATAAACTAAAGAACTAAACTAAAGAAATAAACTAAAGAAGAAGAAACAATAATTCAAGAAGAAAATTAATTAAAGAAAAATAACTAAAGAAGAAGAAATAATAATTCAAAAATAATAACTGAAAAATAGTTGAAGAAGAATAACTAAAAATGACAGGAGAATTGAAGAATTTAATTAAAGAAGAAGAAGCAATTGAAGAAATATAACTATTCAAGAAAAATAATAGAAAAAAAATTTAATTAAGATTTACTAAAGAAGAAATAGAAACAATAATTTAAGAAAAATAATAGAAAAATAAGAATCAAAACAAGAAAAAATAATTGAAGAATAAAAATTTAAGCAGAAAAACTAATAAAGAAAAAAAATTAAGGAAGAATAATTGAAAAAGAATGGCTAAAGTAGGAATTATAAGTGAATAAAAAATACATCAAGAATACAAATATTTAATCAAGAATAACTATAGAAAAAAGTTTAAATTGAAAAATTCAAGAAGAAATAGTAATTAAAAACAAAATAACTCAGAAAGAAAAAATAATTGAGGAAGAAAATCAAATGAAAAAAAAAAATTCTAGAAGTAGAATTCAAGAAGAATGACGAAAGAAGGAATAAGAATTTTAACAAAAAAACTTAAGAAAAAAATATAATTGCAGAATTATATTTTATCAAGAAGAATAACAAAATAAATAATTTTAACAAAAAAAACTTAAGAAGAAGATATAATTGCAAAAGAATAATAACTAATGAATGAAAAATAATTGAAAACAGAAAAAATAATTTAAAAAAAATAACTAAGGAAGAAAAATAAAAGAAAAGTAACTAAAGAGGGATAAATAATTGAAAAGAGAAAAAATAATTCAAGAAAAATAACTAAAAAAAGAACAATCATTGAAAGGAGAAACAAGAAAGAAATAATGGAGAAAAATAAAGTGAAGAAGAAAAAAGAATACTTCCTCTATAAGGAAGTAATAATTGGAGAAAAGTAACTTTAGGAGAAAAAATAATTGAAGAAGAATAGCTAAAAAGAGAACAATAATTGAAAGAAATAATGGAGGAAAATTAAGGGAAGAAGAAGAAAAAGTAATTGAAGAAAAGTAACTTTGGGAGAAAAAATAATTGAAGAAAAACAACTAAGGAAAAAAGACTAATTAAAGAAGACTAATTAAAGAAGAAAAAATATTTAAAGATGAAGAAACAGTTAAAGAAGAAGAAATAATTAAAGAAAAAGAAACAGTTAAAGAAGAAAAAATAATTAAAGAAGAAGAAGAAATAGTTAAAGAAGAAAAAACTAAACAACAATGAAGAAAGAAAAAAAAATAATGAATAAACTAAAAAATTGTCCCCGTTACTGTTTGAAGTATTGCGTTAATAAGTTAAGAAATATATACGAGCAATAGTTGACACAATAGAATTGAGAGACAGCCCTCGTGTTTTTGGGGGATGTTGGGACAGCTTCGTCACGTGTCAATTCGCATTATTACTATTTACCAAAGAGAGCCGAGAAGATCGATGACGGGTGGAGGTCATTCGTGGGAAAAGACTAAGTCAAACAAAATAAAATAGAGATAGATAAAGTGTATCTCTGGTTTTAGTTCGGGAACTTTTGTCGACCCTATAACACACCACTTTAATCCCGGATTGACTCGTATTACTTATTAATATTTTATGCAAACACCGTGATTTAGAACACGAATAAGGCATTATGGCCACGCTCTCTTTGCAAAAGACGATAAGAACTCGTGAAACAACCATCTTATCGGTCGAAATCATTATGGAATTGTATATATTAGCCTGTATGTCTTTATTCTTCCAATTCTATGTCGTTCCAACTCCATAATAATCTCATGAATTCTTCTATAATTCAATTCTAATCTTGATAAATTTATATAATCTATAAATTTATACAATTTGCAAATTTATTCCTACACTTTATATCAACGAAATCTACTCTTATTCACTTTTTCTCTAAATTTTAATTAATAAAAAGTCGACTAATTTTAAATATTGTAAAATTTTTCTTATTAATAAAAATATATTCATATTCTTTGTATAAATCTAAATCCTTTCCAATAAAAATAAATACGAATGCAAATAAAAAAAAAGTAAAAACAATTGAAATATTTTCCACTAAACTTCAAATTCTAGTTAGGTTATAGCACTAAAGGAAAAGAGATTCATTAAATTTTTCTAAAAGATATTTTACAATTTTTGATTGTGATAAAAAGTGGAATTTTCTTATGAAGATTTTAAATTTTAATCTTCGACACAGAAACAAGTTCTTGTAAATGAAAAAACATAGATTTATGTCAATTTTCAAGAAGAAGAAAAAACTACATTATTGAAATTCAAAATGGAAAAACTTGACGTGATTAGAAAAAAGGAATTTAAAATTCCTCACGATTTCAATCTCGTAAAACTTTGGAAGCTAATATCGCCTTTAGTAATTGAACAAGTTGCACCAGATTTTTTGTCAATTCCGAATTTAATGGACACGAATGCTTTTGAAATCGGTAACATATTCGTACGAACTGAACAACAGGTACAATATTTTCTATACATAACTAATAATTATTAATAATAATAATAATAATAATAATAATAATAATAATAATAATAATACTAATAATAATACTAGAAATACTAATAATAATTTTTAATTAATAAATTAATAAAAGAATAAATTAATTAATTAATAATTCTTTTCTTAATCTGAGTAGTCAAGTTGTTTCGGTAATTCACCTCTTCTTAGAGTTCTCGGACCATTAGAAAATTATCTCAAGAAAGGGGAAACGTATCATAAGTGGCTTACAAATGATTTTCGAACAATTAAGCATTTTCCAGAAAATACGAATTTTAAAGTATGATTTTTAATTGGATTTCAACAATTTCCTATAATTGGTTTTTAACATTTTTGATAACTACTAGTTATTTATTTTCTCCCTAAATTTCAATCAGTTAAAAATCGACGTTTAACTGGCAATCATTGATTTTTTGCTTCTGCAAACAGTTAAAAATAACTTCTTATTGTCAGTTTCAAAAAATTGAATTTTTCATTAATTTAAGGTGACCTTAAGGCACAATACCGAGGAATTACAATTCGAGGGTCAAAATTCTTATTTTCTTGCTAAACCAGAGTGTACGATTGCAGAAGAAAATATAATAATTAACCGAAGAAGCGATGAAGGTAGTTCTACAATCTTGAAATTTTAATTAAAAATTTTCAAAGTTCATATACTTTTCTAGATTTGTATTACGCTGATTGGTTTGGCCTAATTTACAGTGTTCTTGTAACGGAAAATTTTCAACTTAAAGCTGAAACTAATGATTCGAATAGAACTATTTATATTGGCGATAAAGACCACGTTATTCTATTTGATTACGAACTCTATAAAATTGACTCGAAAGGAAAACTGCATTATTCGGTAAGGATCTTTCAAACTTTTCCGTCTCCAAAGTTTCGAACATTCAAATCATTCAATTGAACGAAATTTATTTATTTATTTTTTAAATTCAAATTTTATTATATAATAATATTTTGTTACAAATTAAGAAACAATTTATAAACTTCCAAAATGTTAAATTGAGTATTTTTTTATTTAACTCTATTTTATTCCCTTTATTTATTTTTATCTAATTTCACTTTATTCCCATTTTTTATTTTTATCTAGTTTTATTTTATTCACATTTTTTATTTTTATCTAATTTTATTTTATTCATGTTTTTTATTTTTATTCAATTTGATTTAACCTACGTTTTCTATTTTTATTTAATTTTACTTAATTCGCGTTTTTTATTTTTGAAACAGTCAATAATTATCAAAAATATTTTTGCCGAAAAAAATAATTCGTTCAATTGCGCGTTCAAAATTTTCGGAACTTCTTTAATTAGCAATTTTTGAGAAAAAAAATTACATTCGTCTCTGGGCTTAATCAGTAATTAACATTCAGGAAAAAAATATACGAATTTTAATATATTAACGAAATTTTTACTTGTTTTAATTAATACTTTCGCTATTTCAAAGAAACTTATCCTTGTACCAAGTGAAACTTTATTCCGTGTAGGAAAAAAGTGTCTTAATTTTGATCATTCGTAATATAAAAAAAAGTTATTATATTAGTTATAAATTATCATTTATAATTAATATAACTAATAATTTATAATAGAAATAATTTATAATTAATATCAAATTTACCAAATAAATATTTTAATAAAATTTTAGTCATGCAGTTTGCCAAACATACCATGGGAAAGTCTGCAGTGTCAGTGTCAAGATGGCCTACCTTTGCCACCTCTCTACTAGTTTCAATCACCATCACCTCTGAATTTGAATACACTCACATACCTTTGAATCTGTAAAATAAAATGCAAAATAAAAATTAGTCTCTCATTCAAATATATAAGGTAAAAAGAAATAAAAAATTACATATACCAGAAAGAACATAAATTTAGAGACAAGATAATACTTCATAAATAATGTATATATCAAAAGTAATTGGACTTTTTGAAATATTTTTTTCTCTGCTTTTGTATATATATACGAAAGAAAAGCTTTGCGGATGAATAAATAGTTATGAGATGTTTACACACACGTCATAGATGATGATGGAGCAGGAACTTCTTCTTTTTTCTCATGACGAGACATTTCTCATTTAATATAGTGACAAGTGCTTGCATTAATCCTCTTGTAGTCTCTCTCTCACTCTCTATTTTTCCTTTCTGCATAATATTCAATCGAAACTGTATTTTAATTTTTGTTCACTTCCACCGGTATCTATATCCCGATAAAGACTAATATTTACGTATGGTAACAACGGATAAACTAATTTAATTCACTACGGATGAAATAATTGTTTTTCTTTCAAAAAAGTGGTAGGAAACAGTAAAAGGTCTTTTTCTTAAAAGAAAGAGAAAAAAGAGAGGCTACCTCTCTTCACTATTAAAAACTACTTTAAAGTGATTCAAGAATATTTATACTCATGTTTTTCAGGGTTGCCACGCTTTTGCTCATTTCAAATTCCCTGACTTTTCCAGGTTTTCCAGGTTAAAAAACGGAATTTTTCCAGGTTTTTGAAACTACATTTATATTTAACAAAATTTTTAATTCAAACCATTTTTGAAATTAAACATCTTATAAAAAATTGTTATAAAACATGAAAATATCGTTAACTCCGAGTCTTCGACTCAGAGTGATCGAGTTTTTTATCCAAAATTTTTAACTAAAATTCTTCTTTAAATTAATTATCATTAATTATTATTAATAATTTTTAAAACATTTTTTTGAACATTTTTAAATCCTTTTCTTTACAATTAAATTTTACGAAATTTCATCGATTATTCGGAAAATTCTTCAATCAAATATTAGAAAATAAAAACTTCAAATAACTTAAAAAAAAATTCAATTGAGCTTTTTCAAAAAAATTAAATCTACACAACTTTCAGTTAAAAGTATGAAAAATTCAAACATTCAAAGATCAAAATTCAATTGTCTACAATTTTAACTGAAATTCATATTTGATTCAATTATAATTAGAAAATTCTACAATTTAATTATTTAAATACAAAAATAAGTAATTTATTGAATATAATTGAATGTTTCTTAAAATTCAATTCCCATAAAGAATCGTTATATCAACGAATTTTCAAATAATTAAATTCTATATCAACGAATTTTAATAATATTTTTAAGAATAATTACATTTTTCGAGAAATTCGATTAAAATTGTATGAAAAATAATTGAAATTCAGCAATGAGTAGGTAATAATTTGTAACTTTTCCAAAATTGAATTTTTTTTCGTGTTTTTAACTAAACATCTTCCATAAATTTATTATCTTTAATAAGTTTTGAAAAAAGTACTTTAATATTTATAAAAATAATTGAATCTCTGTGAAAATAAATTAAATATTTTTGAAAATAATGGAATTATTGCAAAGAAATTTATAAAAAATTTGTAAAGAATTGAATTGCTGTGAAATATTTGTTATTTATAAAAGTAATAAAAGATTTGCTTAGAATTTTATCAAAAAAATGTTTAAAACAATTCATTTCTTTTAGAAAATTTTATTAAAATAGTAGATATTGAAAATCATTGAATGGTGGAGAATTTAAAAAAAAAATTGAATTTGTTAAAAAGAATTTCATTAAAATTTTTGAAAATAATTGAATTTTGGAGAAAAATTTTAATATTTATAAAGATAATTGGAATTTTGACGATAATTTTTTCAAACTTTTCACCATAATTACATTTTTGCAAAGAATTTTATTACTTTTGAAAAGAATTGAATTCTTCCGTCGAATTTCTTTAATAATATTTCTTTTTAAATAATTGAATTCTTTTGTGAAATTTTATTGAAATAGTAGATATTGAAAATAATTGAATTTTTATAAATTATAGAAATTAACGAAATTTCTACGAAGAATTTTATTCTAATAATAATAAATCTATTAATTCTATTAATAATAAATAAATTATAAGAAGGCTTTTTAAAATAATTTAATTTCTTTGATGAATTTTAAGAAAATTTTTACGAATAATTACATTTCTCGAGAAATTCCATTAAAATTGTATTAAAAATAATTGAAATTCTGCGATGAGTTATATTATTTATGAAAATAATTGAATCACTCTAAAAAAATTTGATTATTTATGAATATAATTGAATTATTGAGAAGAAAAATTGTGAAGGCAAGTCTTTTAAAATTGAATTAAAAAATTAGATTTCAAGAATATGCACAATAACTTTTGAAAACAATAATTGTCTAGGATTCGACAAAAAAAAATCCGTGTGAAAAAGAAGAAAATCGACTTTAATACTAAAGAAAAGTAGTTTTTTCTTTCTTTACCACCAAAGACGACTTAAAACCCACTCTTGAATATTTCCAAAACATTTTTTGTGTTCTACAATAAAAATCAATGTTTATGGAAAGAGAAAAAAAACCCTGAAAAAAGATAGAGAGAGATCACCAGCAAATGACGTATATGCGGTCTTTTAACCGCTTTCACAGTGGTGGAAACTGGTGTTGGCAGCCATGTCGAACGCTTCGCGTAACGAACTGCATCGATTCCAATATATAGTCAAAATGAAAAGGCTGGGGGCTTTTTCGAGCTTTAGAGGTTTGCCGGGGAGATTGGTAGAAGTGAATTACTATCATTGTTAATCGTAATCGAGTGTTTCATCGTTCGATGATTCCACCGGGGTGGAGGGGACGCTGATGACGAAAGAGCACACAAGTGCATGTGTTTGTCATTTCACACTTGATCAATGTTTTTCCATTTGATTGTTTTCATTTTAACTTGCACTAATTAATTGTACGCACGCTTTTAAACTACCAATTCTCTCTTATTTTCCTAAATTGATATAGTCTGTCGGCTGTCCTTTTTGTTCTATTCGTGTAAAAACGACACCCGCTTATTTCTCACTAGCTTTTCATAATTTTGTATCGTTTTTTTTTTGTTATTTTTTTTCCTTTGCTTTCTTTTATTTTTTTTTATTCAGTTTTTTCTCCTTTATGAGAGTAAAAAAAAAATTTTAAAGCCTTACGAAATTTACTGTACGCATGAAGAGAGTCGAATTGATATTCCGACAGGTGAAATAAGTGAAATAAAGATAAAATAATAAATAAAAAAAAAGTGTTTTTAATCCGGGCAACAATGTTAGCTCCTCTCTCTCTCTCTCTCTTTCTCTCACACACTCTCTCTTGAAAAAGTGGACGCGCGAAATTAATATTCACACAGATACAAAGTTCCCTCCCGACAAGCAGTTGACAGACGGGAAGGACAGAAAAAATAAATCACAGAGGAGGAAAAAAATGCACTTTTCGACCTAAAGCGCATAACCACCTGGTGGCATAAAACTGAAGCGACGTCACTTTTACGCTTTTGAATACAGTGCACGACGACTGCGGCAATAAAGAGTTTTGAAAAACGGTGAACACGTTCTGTCGTGTACAGCCAATTCGTAATTGCAAAAAACCACTAAAAATCCACTACTCGCCGAATTTATCGTCACTCTTTTGCTTTTATTCCACATTTTCAATATCTCTATATGTTTTAAATGTTCCCGAGAAAAAAAATTTCGCATATTAATAATTAACAAAAAGAAAAAAAGAATATCTTGTAGTTTTCTATTTATAAAAATATTTACTGTTTCAGTTCTCTGACATTTAAATTCTGTATTATAAAAAAAAAGTTTAAATATTATTTCAATATTTTTTTACCAACATTGAAAAAAAATTACTTGATTCAAATAACCGATTACTTGTCTATTACCAATTAAATATTTACTTAAATAAATTTTTATTTGAGTCAACTAATTTTAATTTTTTATTCCTTTAGTCAAATGCTAAAATTATTGGTTCAAATGAAATTTATTCGACATAAATAAAATTTATTTCATTCAAGTTTGAAAAAAAAAAAAATTTGTTGAGATATAAAATGGTGGTAAATTTTCTCCACCTAAGAACGCCAAGGTCACAACAAGGTGGCAGGAGAAATTCCAAGAAGGAACTTTACAGACATCTAGCGGTGATCTTGGCGTTCGCAGGTGGAGAAATTTTACCACCATTTTCAGGGTTGCCGCACAAATATTTAATTTTATTTTTCCCTGACATTTCCCTGATTTCCAGACAAAATTTTCACTTTTTCCCTGACCCTAAAGAATATTCCGATTCACTCTAAAAATTATTCAAAAACATCAATAATTTATTTTTTAAATAAATATTTATTCATTATTATTTTTCTGTAGGAATTAAAATTTTTCAAAACATTCAAATTCAAATCTGTTTGAAATTTAGCAACTTATCAGAATATTATTAAAAAACATGAAGCAGGCGATCACTTCCAGTCGAAGACTCGAAATGATCGCCTTATTCATGTTATAATTTAAATTACCATAAAATTTTTCAAAAAAAGGTAATTATTTACAAAAATCGTAATAAATTCCTTCGCAAGTAGTAAAATTTCTCAAAAAAATCAATTATTTAAAAAAAATTCGTTGCAATAATTCAATATTATTCTCATAAATAATAAATCGATTATTCGGTAATTCATTTTTAAATCAATTTTTAATAGAAAATTCTAGAAGAATTTAGTTATTTAGATTAAAAAATAAATAATTTATTAAATAATTGAATGTTTGTTAAAATTGAATTCTCATAAAGAATTGTATCAACAAATTTTTAATTAATTGAATTCTTTTAACGATTTTTAATAAAATTTTTAAGAATAATAGCATTTTTCGAGGAATTCGATTAAAATATTGTATCAAAAATAATTAAAATCATGCGATGAGTTTTATTATTTATGAAAATAATTAAAAATTTCCCAAGAATTTTATTAAAATTTTTCTAAAA